TTGTGTTTTTCTACAGGATATACAAAGGCAATCAGTTTATTTGGATTCAGCAACATGCTAGTGAGTGAAACTTTAAAAGTAATTTATCTTGCTGAAGTAGTTACAGTGATCAAACCTTTCTTATTCCTACATCTTCTAACAGTTCTTCAAAACACCAGGTTCATTTGGGAGGAACAGCAATCTTCAGAATTTCCCAAATCATAAAGATAAAAAATTGCTTATGCCACAAAATCTACTCTAAGCAGTAAAAAGTGAAAAAAAATTTGCAGTTTGAAGACTAAATTTGAAGACATGGACTTTCATGCAAAATGCAGCATTTATTAGAAGCAGATAGAAATACTTCACTCTCAATAGCCTTAAACTGAGTATTCAGGTCCACTACCAAATACTGGAAGAAGGTCACAGAGGAAGAAAATTTAGAAAAAAACTTAAAAGAAGCAAGATTGATGTAAACATAAAAATGCTTCAGGAGACATTGGAAAGGATTTGATCATAGCTATAAACACTCATCCAGAAAGATAGGTCAGATTCTGTTTCTCATGGAAACTACAAGACTCCTTATGTAAGTTACAGAGCAGTTCTGGAGATGCCACACAGTGAGGAAGACTGAAAGAAAATTTACTATTTGCCCCGCAAAATAAACATCAAATGGAAAAGCCAGGACAACTTTTAGGTTCCACCTGGTAAGACATTTAACTGATTTTAAGCTTGTAGTGAGAAAGAGCACAAAATATGTTACGGAAATGAAGTGATTATCCTACAACTACTCAGCCTTGCCTCCACACTACCACGAAACAGCATGAGTCCCACCTCCCACAATATGAACTGCATTTTCAGCCACAATTAAGTTAGAAATTTGGTTTTCCATCTCTAGATTGGTGTCTGACTTGGATAAACACGTTGAAATTTGTGTTTGACAATACTGAGGACTAATCCTGCAAATTAACCATGCCATTTACAGGACCTTTACAGCTAAACGAAATAAATGGGAAAAAAAAGCAATGAAAGTGATTTTGGGAGGGATGCATAAAAAGAAGCTTCGTCAGCAGGTCAACAGAGGTGATTTTCCCTCTCTGCTCTGCTCTCATGAGATCCCACCTGGAGTACTGTGTTCAGCTCTGGGGCCCCCAAGTACAAAACAGACAACTGACCTGTTAGAGCAGCTCCAGAAGAGGGACACAAAAATGATCAGAGGGCTGGAACATCTCTCCTGTGAAGAAAGGCTGAGAGTTGGGGTGGTTCCGTTTGGAGAAGAGAAGGCTCCAGGGAAACCTCGCTGTTGCCTTTCAATACTTAAAGGGAGCTTACAAGAAAGATGAAGAGAGCTTTTTTTACCAGGGCCTGTAGTGACAAGACAAGGCGTAATGGTTTTAAACCAAAAGAGGGAAGATTTAGGTTAGATATAAGGAAGAAATTATTTGCTATGAGGGTGGCAAGACACTGGAAGAAGCTGCCCAGAGATTTTGTGGATGCCCTATCCCTGGAATTGTTCAAATAAGTCATTGTCACTGCAAACCACTTGTATCACTGAAAAACTCTCACTTCAGACAAAGAAAAGCTTGCACCAAGGAGACAGAATTAGGTTGGTCTGACTAAACTTCTAAAAGTTGTGTTCCGTTCTTCAAGGCTGACAGCACTAACGAATTCTTCAGTCTCTACCCAACTTTACCCACTATGAGCATGGCTGCTGCAGTTCTAGCAACTAAAACACAGTATGACTTATTACTTAGATTAACGTAACCTGCAAAGCAGTCTGACCACAGTATGGCAGTGAGCACAGGGGAATTTCAGTTTCCGAAACTTCAGCAGCCATTCCTGTAAGACAGTAGTTTTGCAAACACCACTTTTATGAGCCCAAGATTTTTTTTAAAGCACTCTGGGTTTTTAAAGGAGCTTAAGCTTTTCCAAAAGTCAACAGCATCTTCAGCAATGTTTTGGTACCTAAATATGAAGCTCTACAACCACACTGGAAAACAGTGGAGAACAAGTTCTGTGTTAGTAAGCAGGTGCAGCACAGTCGGTGTGAATGCATGGAGTGAAACACTTAATGACAAGGATCAACACCAACACTACAAACATGGGGACAGGGGACAAGTTCTAGTCTTGTCCCAAGACTGAACACCATTAGCAGCTACAGCATAATTGGGTCTATTCATGTAGCACATCAGTTTCATGGGAAAGAAGTCAGTTTGCATTGTACAAAACTGTTCCATTATGTGAATCACAACATAAGAAGTGGGGATGACTGCAAGATGGACTTCAAAAATATGATTCTGATCGAAACTAAAACACCTGCATGCACCCTTTGGCACAATCAATAGGTTTCAAAAAACATTCCCTTGTGTTAAGACATCTTATATGGCAAGGTGTACAGTTTTATTCAGTAATAAGCAATGTCTAATTTCTTTTTTTAATATTAACCGGTGCTGTCAGCATACTGTTTATTTATGAAATCCACAAGGACTGATAGAAAAAGTTTCTAATTCAAGCCCTGATCCATGGCCTTACACCAAAATTCTAAATGGAAACAGATACAGCACACACTCTCATCTCTGACAGAGTGGAAGTGTTATATCTACAAAGGTTTCACAAGATGTGAGGTGGTGATGTGGGATAAGAGCAGCACTTGTATTTCACAATGCATTCTCAACCTGGCCTTTGTTAAATTAATCTCACCTTTCCCTGTCTTCAAGGGATTCTTCACCAGACCTAAGGGAGGCAAAGTCGACAATACAGCTTATGTCAAAACTGGAACTACAAGAGGAAGAGAAAAGTTTGCTGTTGTCATTGACCCATTGAGAACAGATCTGCAGAAAATTTAGCATAGCAATAGATGGACATTCTGTATGAACAAGAGATTTGTGCTTCTAAGAGAAAGGCAAAAGTGGCAATGACTTCCTCTGAGGACACATCTTTCAGCTACTTCAATGAGACTTACTTCAAGAAACATGTAATTAGACATTAAGAACAAGGCAGTTACACATCCTGAAACTTATGCTGGGTGGCAGTAAGTCTTATTTCATCCAAGAGTAAATCTAACAGTTGAAAAATGACCTTTTATCAAATGCTCCCACAAGTTCTTTGAATTGTCATTCAGTAGGATTCTCTCTTCTGACTCGATTTCTTAGGAAGTGTTTTTTTGCAGGTCACAAAGAAAATGCTTTAATACAATTCCTCCGTGCCTCTGTCACACAGGTGGAGAAATATTTACTAAAAGGATATATTAAATAAGTAAGCCTAACCTTGGATCAAAGGCACCTTGATATAATGCTGTAAGCTTTAGAAAGCATTGTTCCTACCATTGAAAAACCCTGATGCACTGAAAGTCAGCTCAAGTGGAAAGTTATGGAAATCATATATATATATAATATATATATACACACACACACAGATGTTGACTTTGTGTCTGCATATGTCACAATGAACTGGTATAAATACAACGATAAACAAGAGATTGATGGTATGAGGCAGGATAACACAGGGCAGTTGCTATCTTCATTATCTTGCTGCCTCGCTGTGATAAGCTATTTTTTAATGATGATAATGAAAACGTCTCGTTAGCGCAAATTTGACATTTTATAGTAAAATGCTGTTCCATATTCATGACCATCATAAGTATGCTTTTGAAGGACTTAATTCATTTTATTAAAATATAACCTCAAAGACATAAATTTTTTCTTTCTTATACTCTTCAGATTCCCCTCAAACAACAGAAAGACTGGCTCAATTGCCTTAAAGGCTAGAGATACAAGGAGAAGGGAGATTTTCCACCATTTTAGAACATAAATCAGATGCTAATCTGGAAAAAAAATCCAAGGCAGTTGTTGTGAAGACTGTTTCTTTTACATTAAAAATGACACTCATTACAACATCTGAACTATTCTCTTTAAAACTCAGAAAAGACTCCTCTTCCAGAAGAAAAATTTCCAACTTGCACTTTGCTGCACCGAAGTATTTTCAGAGCTAGAGTACAGCACATACTTCTACAACTCCATTCTTTAGAAACCACCTTCTTTCCATACTGAGGATAACAAACAGATCGTAATGGGCTAACATAGAAAACCTTCTATCTCTGAAACTAGACTCTGGGATATTGTATACCTTTGGGGACAGCTTAAACAAAATCAAGGCAAAATGCCCTAAAAAGCTAGGCTCCTAAGCAGAACTCAATGTTTAACAAACTTTAAAAAACATACATACGAGAAAGTTCATGAAGGAAGGACATTTGTTTTTGACACGAACTTTCCAGTAGGAACTATTCCAAGGCACAGAAATGAAGAACTGAAGAAAGCTACAGTGCCTGTTAGCCTTCATGTTGGAAAGCAGTTTTCAGAACAGCTGATCAGATATGGCTGGCTGAAAAAAATACACCAACTTGCACTACTGAAGAGCACAAGCCACTTCCTCAAACACATGCCTTATAGAATTCTGGTGTAACTTGCAAGGCTAGCATAATTCCATGATACCACACATCCATTTTAAACTTTGTTTCAGGCTCATTCACTGGAAGAAGTTGCTTCGTTTCCATGGGACCCATCTGACAGAAAAAGCCATTGCTTGCATGTGGGCAGGACTGACAAATTGATTAGGAAACACACTAGCTCAAACAATATTCAAAGAAACTATGTTAGAAGGCCTTCTACCTACGTTCAAAGTAGCAGAAGAAACAAAGACCTCACACTTCACTTGGGAGCTTGATGAAGGTCAGAGCTAGAACTCTCCCAAATATTAGGATTTCAAAACCTTCTGACTACCAAGCACCAAATCTGCAGGAGCCCGCTGCCCAGTCATACAAAACCCAAGAAAACAGCATTAAAAAAAAAAAAAATCTTGCATTCAGTGGTCTGTATCTAGTCATCATCCACATATACCAGTGAGGTAGATATTTTTATCTTGTTTACTTCTAAGCAGAGAAAGAAACGACATCAAGAGAGGTTAAATCTCTGTGGGGAATCAGTATCACGCCAGAAACTGAAGTCAGGCATTTCTGACTCCAGTTGTGGGATTGTATTTCTTTATGTGATTTATGAGTGGGTGACAAAAATATGAAAATAGATAGAAAGTTTGACTTTTTGTTGGGTAAATAAGCAAAATAAGTGTATTATAAATATCCAAGTAAAGCACACCAAGCATTGTTGGCTACAGTCAGATTATCACCTCCTAAGTAACGATTTGCATTTCTTCCTTTACCTAAAAACTTCACTTTTATTACCACAGAAGACAGTTCTCTGAGCAAGTAAACAGTCCCCATTTGTCTTGCAATCTGATTGTTTTCCATGTCCAGTCAGCACTAAAAGCAGAGTTTCTAATAAGTTTGCATTGCTTGCACTGAAGACTTTGAACAGACGCTTTCTATACAACATATTCGACAAACTCACCATCAGTAGCTTGGAGACTGTATGTCAGGCCCAGTGCCAGGTAGCCCTTTGCTAGGGACTCTCCAGCATCCTCACCCAGGTCTATCACCATTTTAGCAAAGTACTCTCCTTCTTCCAGCTGCAAAAGAGGTAGGTTGAGACTTATAGGCATTTCCTCTATATTTACTTCAATAAGATTATCCCATTAAACTTACCTGTAAGTGCTCTAAGAGCCATTCAGACAAGCACCTTCAGCAACCACAGTAAACACTGACAGAAAGGAGGATGTGGAAGGTCAGATGAACAGGCCTTGGTGCACATGGCACAGTTTTGAGAAAAGTTCTGGTTTTGTTTTAAGCATCCACTCAAAACTATTTCCAGCTGTTTAAGGTTAATGAGGGACACCATCTTATTTTTATATTTCCTTTCAGGCATGCCCCAGTCATGCAACCTTAAATACAAATGCTGGAGCAATTGAGTACTTACATACTATCCCAGCAGTACATTGAAAGGTCTAACAAGGCCTGCATTTGAAGGCAGAAACATCTAGTTTTGCCGTACTATGTTTTTAAATGTTAGCAAATTTTACTTCCTTTTAAGACATTTCAAGAGTAAAACAAGAAAGCACTTCACTGCAAGCTGAGTTCAGCTGTTGCTTGCAGTTTTGCTGCCACGAGGAGGTAGCAAATTCAGGACACAAATTTTGATCGGAAATACCACACAGTACCTTAGCAGCTCATGCTGCACTAGCCACATTTTGCATCTTTTGCAAAGACACAATTTCTTTGAAAATGCATTTTAAATTACAAATTGTAATGGAAAGAGAAAGCAGTCACAACCTCTCAGGATCAGCCTCCAAAACAGTGAAATAGGTAAGCTGGTCTCTTCTACTACAGTACAGACTACTTCCCCCAACCTTCCTTTCCAGCTGACCATACAGACCTAAAGTCTAATGAAAATATAAAGCTTTAGCATCTTTAAAAGCTGAGTTAAGAAAAATTTTAAACAAAAAATAATTTGGCTCTTTTTTATTACAGAATAGAGCGTTCCACATTTGTAATCTTAAACTCATTAACAACACTCACCCATTGTAAGTAGAAAAGACTAAGACCTGTAGACTGTACATGTCTGGAAAGGTATAGGCTGGAGAGGTACAGGCGAAAGCTGTTAAGTAATGCTTGAAAGACACAGAGCCTACAGGATGGCCTAATTTCTGTACAAGATAGTCTGCAGATCCTGTCAACCATAATCAGAGTCATTCCTAACCAGGAACCAGAGGGCACTACACTATCCAAAAAAATCCTCCTTTTGGAAGCTCGTATTACATGACAACTGACTTTCTGGGATGGGGTTGTTTAATTTTGAGGAAATATATTTGTTTGAAATCCATCTGTTTTAGATGCAAGTACTGCAGATGTACCTGAAACATGCTCTTTTAGTACTCAGCTTTGTCAGACTTCAGGACCTCATAGTTCCTTAATATCTAAAAGGAGTCACCCATAATGAACTAGAACCAAAATGTACCAACAGACCAGAAACTCCCCTTCCGCAGTGATCTGTTAGTACACTACCTATGTACAGAATCTACTTGAGTTGAGATACTATCCTGTCAACAGGCCTCCTAGTTATATCAGTTGAAGACATTCTGGTGACACCATTAACCAATAGCTTCATAAATAAAGGAGCTGGTATTTATTAGATTATATCAAACATAAGAAAAAAAATTACCATTAATGTAAGCATGAAGAAAGGCTGAAAAGTGTGAGTGAAGAACCAATCACCACTGCTTGGATCTCTTTCCTCACTTGTACAGCTCCCAAGGTTGTACAATTCAAACTTGATGTAGACCAACAACACACAAACTTCTGAAACCTCAGATCAGTCAGCCCAATGGCCAATGTATATTTTATCAAACTCTTCCCTGAAAGTACTATGAAAGCATTACAGTCTTGCTGATTGCCTAGTCAACTATGAATCTGGAAACTACTAACTGAAAAAGGAATAAGCCCCTGGGGCATAGTTCAGGCTACCAAGTAAATCGCAAGACCGTCTTTGACGGCATAATCCAATGTCTGCTGAAAACACTGGAAACAGTCCTATTGACTTCAGTGATGCTCAGATGAGACCCTTTAAACCCTGATCGTCACATCACGAAGACTGAGGTTTGTTCCAGCAGATTTCAGAATCCTGTCAGCAGCCCTGCCACATACTGAAGTATGTTCTGGACCAGAGCCTAGGACAATGGAAGAAGAAAATGTCCCATGACTTGTCACACAGGGGGGAGGGGGGAAAAAAAAAACCCACAACAAAAAATAACAAATCAACCCAACAACAAAAAAACCCTTCCCATGGAACAATAACTGAATTCTTCAGCTCTCAAGAACTTGTATGTAAGACACAAAATCTCTGCAGCCAGAAAATTAATTATGCACCTCTTTCGCCACCATAAACAGCTATATTCCCACTCTTTCTTCATTGTTTCTCCTCTTCTCCCCACACACACTTTTGTCCAGAAGTCCCCATTAGATGAAGAAAAAAGCTATACAAGGAATTCTAATAACTAGCGAACAAGGGTAGGGGTGGGTAGAGAGTATGAAAAAAGAAACTAAATGAAAGGTTTAGAGTTGAAATTGAGACATTTAAAATTAGAGACATTTTGCTCCATTGTTTCTCTTAATGGTCACCTGACAGTGCTTCCAGTCTCTGACTGATGGCCTATACTGCACAAATCAGCAGCACACCATTCAGCTTTCTTGCCTGCTGGTTATCCAGGGCCACCTGTGAGCATCAGATTAATCTATTCTATGAACAATTAAACCCACAACTTTTCAGAATGGCTGAAAGAACACTTCTATCACAAACATTCTTGTAAACATTTATTCATACTAACACTAATGGCACTTTGACCAGCCACAAAGATTCTCATGAACGCAAACTCAGGTCAGCTGAAGGCTGCCTTGAAAAGAAGTGGCCTTGCAAACTCCAGCACAGCTGGTTCTGCTTACAAGAGCATTTAATTTTCCTTCTTACAGCATTCAGTAACTTCTCCTGCCAGCCCTGCTGTGGCTGCCATCTGCCCCCTCTTCTCCCATTCTCCTACTCTTCAATCATTCTGGGCAAGTGTGAAAAGCCAAACCTTACACTCACATCACCCACTGTGAGGTTTCAACTCTCCCATGCAAATTCCCCTTCCCAGATTGCAGTCTGGATGAAAACTCCTTCTCCATGCACCTGAGTGAGAGACCAGTAGCAAGCCTGAGCTGTGATCTGCCAGTAAAGTGTGTCCATGGGAGTCCTCAAGCATATGAGATGTCTCCACTCTGTGCTGTGTGATGGGAAACAGAGGGGGGGAAGGCCTCCAAATGAGGCATCAACCCCTCTGGAGTCCCACCAGATACAGCTATTCCCAGCCGCAGCTCCTGTATGCCACCACATGACCTGAAGCAGCAGGAGCTGTTCCCTTTCTCCTCCCCCCATGTGGTGCCAGGTATATAAAGTATCAGCCTGTGGATCTCCCAGAAGTTGAGAGCTCAAGGTGCACGGAAGTGGCAGAAAGCTTATCAGGAGAATCAAGACTTCCATTCCTACTCCTATTGCACAGCCAGGGGCCAGCCTCCGTATGAAGGGAACCTAAATTGTTCGTTCACTTCAGAGGAGGACTTCAACTTTAAGGTGACAAAAAACTGCATTGTAAGGGCAAGGAACATGGATCAAAAATTCTTGTTGCAATTTATGGGCCCTTGCTAGTAAGCTCTAAGTCACAGGATGCCATGTGTCCTCCCCTACAGTGGGCATTGCACAGCATCACTTCATCATTAAGAAATGCACAGCATACTGATGTTACCTGGTTGCTAGCAGGACCAACAGCAGCTCCCAGCACCCTGGAAAAGATATTTCTTTGGGTGTCAAGAGTGCCAGTAACAGCTTGAATTCAGTTTCCTTAGAATCACTCCCTGTTATTCTCTTAGAAGCAAGGAAAAAACCAAAGCCTCAAAGCCACACAGATATACCTCTGATTTGGCCCTTACTGTTCTTACATTCTTCGGCATAGCTTGCACTGAATAACTGGCAGAGAAAAAGGCAGCACCACAGGTTGCAGGGAGAGGTTCTCTGCCTTTGAGAACTGCATGGGAGAAAGCTTAGAAAAGAAGGCATGGGGGTAAAACAACCTAAAAGGAACTTCTCATATTTTGAGCTCAAGCTGTATAGACTGTCAGGAGGCACCTGGAACCACCAGCTAAGCAACCTCTCCACCACACCAGAAACAAGCACACACCTGGCACCTGGAGAGAAACAGGCTGCCAAACTGTGAGCTAACACCAGGAAGATTGTAATATTGTGGGGTTAGGGTTGGTTTTTTTTCCTCCTTCCACCCCCTCCATCATCTTTGATGGAAAAGGAACAGTTGTTAGCTGTGTAACCCTGAGGGACGTTTTCCCTGAAACAGAGAATGGCTGTTCCAGCTACCCTCGTTATTTGACTACAGTTTTGGTGTGTGCTGGAGCCAAGCTCGGGGGCATACTGACAAGAGAGTGGGGAACAGCAGGTGCTGTCCCCTGGCCTATTGCCACTCAGCTGGTTTCCAACTGCCACCCAGGTTGTTTTTAGAGAAGCTCAAGCCCTACCCCACTGAATCAACACCCTCCAGGACTCTAAGCGGGAGCTGCAGTTCTCACCAGCATGGATTTAGAACAATTGAGGACAAGCAAGCTGATGACCTACAGCAGCATGGAAACAGCATCTTACCGCAACGAAAAAGAGGAGTGCACAAGAGAGGACACAGGAAACATATCAAGTGACACAGGACTTAGGACAGCAGACAAGGTTAGTGAAGCAGTGAAGTTTGGACAGCAGTGAGACGGAGTGATACCCATGCACAGAAGAAATCCAAATCCTAAGGAAAGGGTGTCTACACAAAATTATGCATGATATTAACTAGGTGGATTGACCTCTTCTTACCATTTTCATTATACTGGGCTGTAGATAGAGACTAATTCAAACAAGAGAAAAATCAAATAGTGGGAAAAGAGAATGAGAAGAGGAAAAACACATAGGAAGAAAGTGGCCAGTAAGACATAGTATAATGGAAAAGGTTTGTCCTGCAGCTGTTTACAGCATACAAAGTGAATCATGTTACAT